GGGGGGGGGCACCCAGGGGTCTAACCACAGGACTCCCCTGGCAGGGTGATCCGTGGGAATGGTTTATTCTATTTGCAGTGCTTTGGCTGTATGGGTTCCCACCATCCTGCTGGGGCTGGGCCAGCCCTGTGGCACTGCCACAACCTTGGGCAACAGCCCACTGCTGCCTGGCAAGGTGACTGCAGGGGCAGGGACTGGGGGCTGGCATGTGGGTGTGCATGGGTGTGACAAGGAGCCAGGCCCAGCACAGCCACTCTGGCAGAGGAGGGATGCTCCTGCTCCTGGGGCACAGGGCTAGGGCTGGTGTGGCAGGCCTGGCATGGTGTGCAGGACTGCAGCTCCCCCTGCATCCACAGCTGGGAGCTGGACACTGCTCCCCGAGGCTGCCTCCCCGCACGCTGCAGGGAGGGAAGCCTGCTCTCAAGCAATGGTGTCTCTGGGCAGGACCTCAGCACTTGGCACCCCACCTCAGGTTTAACAGGGACGAAAACAAAACAAAACAAACCAGAGCAACCCAAAAAAACAACCCACAATTTTGGACAGTGCATAAGTAGCAAGGACGGCCCATGTGGCTCCTGGGCACCAGCTGTTGCTGTGGACCCCAGGACTGCAGCAGCGCGCCTCACTGACATCCCTGGCACCAGGCATCGCACAGGGCATGGCCTCCCAGCTGTATAACCCCTGGCAGGGCGCGGCCGTCGGGCAGGGTCAGGCACAGGAATGGGCTAAGCTGGGGCTGCCCTGGCTGTGCCAACATTCCTGGAGCCCTAGGGCCCTGCCAGTGAAGAGGCGCAGTCTGGCAGCAGACCTGCTGCATGCCAGGCACATGGGCCGTGTCCCTGTGCTGCAGGAGCTACTGCAGGGATTTGACAATAGCCCGCAGGGCATGAGGCGTCTCCGGGACAGAGGGAGACGCGCTGTAGAAGGTGTCAGTGTGATTCCTGCGCTGCTCTCGGAGGTATGGAGGAACAGAGGAACTTTTGATGTGGAGGATCCTGGTGTCCATCACTTCGCAGTCGATCTGCATCATCACCTCGTAGTCCTGCCCATTGATAACATTCTCTGTAAAAGTTAAGAAAAAAAGAAGGAACTAGCCCTGCAAGCTAGTGACCCAACAGCACTAAAAGCAGAGCTTTCTGGACCTTTTTTTGGTCTGGAGCTCCATCTCACACAGCGCAGCCCCAGCCTGCTCGTGACACCTCAAAGGGACCAGGTCACACCTAGAAATTAATATAAGTCTTTTAGTTTCCTCTTCATCTGCACATAATTACCAATGGAATTTGCATTGTATAACAGTTATTACCAGACTGTTGTTCTTGAGCCACTAAAGCATGATTGAAGAGAGGGCTTATTGAAGCAAGCTGAATGTTTCACTTTCTTTTTATTGGTTTAAGAATACTGTAAGCCTCTTGACACTGAGGATCTAGAGGAATTTCTTCACCAGATTATTAATAAAAAAGAAGTCAAAAAGCTGTCTGTCAAAAGAATCAACTGCACCTCATTACTGTGCTGACCTGGCTGTTGTACTTTCTTGACGTTGTGGTGTGACCCTGGACAAGGCCTCCAGACATGGGGAGACCCAGGCCAGCACATGGGACCCCAATGCAAGGCCATGGCAGGCTGCACCACCCTGGCGTGGCCCCAAGCCAGGCACGTCTGTTGTCACAGAAGCTCCTGGGCTTGCAGGCAGAGGCCGTGCACATGTCCAGCATCTGCTGCCTGGATTTAAAGGTGGGAGACTATTCTCTGCATAGACAGTGTGTCCAGGAATGCGAGAGCAGAGATCGGATTTCCAGGCACAACCAATCCTTGCCTTTCAGAGTCAGAAACGCCGACTGCCATCGGCAGAGTCTTCTTTCTGTGCTAAGGAGGATGGAAGATCACCTAATGGAAAGCGTATGGATTGGAGGAATGCAATATACATTACTAATTTTTACTGCTTTCCTGGATTAACTCCGACTCTGGATGACAGCTGACAACCGCGGCCAGACCCTCCTGTACCCCACGCCACCTGTAGAAGCCATTAGATCAAGTATGTCTGGTATAGTAATGAAAAGCAGGAGCAAACTCTTGCGAAGGGGGCTGAGAGCCTGCAAGGGAAATCAAAGCTCCCACCTGCAGAAATGAAATGGAAAAGCTCTGTATGTGCCATTGAGTGACCAAGGCCAGGAGCAGCTGTGCATGTCTCTGTGCTGCTGACCCAAACACCCTGACAAACGCCTTGTCCCTCCTGGCTGTGGTGCTGCTGATAAAGCCCTGACTTAGCTTTGGGTGCTGTGTCCCCAGTTGGGACCCTTTCTGAGGCTGTCTCTCCAGGTCACCCCTTCTCTCACCCTTTGGATTTGCTCCTGGTTCTCACACAACAGGTTCGGGACCACATGGTGGAGGAGGCTGGACTGGTGCTCCTTGGGACAGGGGGTTGCAGGGGGCAGCTGGGCACAAGGAGAAGTGGGTAAGGGAGAGAGCAAACAAGAGCAGATTGGCTCCCTGTGACACAGCAAGATGAAAACACAACTCCTCAGCTCTCACACTGCAAAGAGGACAGCAACAGGATCCCAGCTATGTCAGAAAATGTGCTCCAAAGCCACAAACGGGTGAGGTGGGCTAGGACAGCTGCCAGGGCCAGGAAAACCTCTTGGTAAGGCAGCAAGACTTCCCCATGTCTGCCCGCAGCAGCCAGCACAGCGGGCTATCATTAGGTTCCCTGGCATTGCACAACACGCTGGGAAACAGCAATCACAGAGAGCAGCCCAAGTGCTCTGTGGGTGGCAGTGGGGAGCATGGGAACCAGATCAGCCCATCTCGGGCCGCCGGGATCCCGCTTCTCCCAGCGCTGACACAGGCTCCCCCCATGACTAAATTAAGTAAGCCACAGCTCTGCTACCCTGTGCAAGGGGTGCTGTGTCTTCTGAGGCCACCACAGCAGAGATAGCTGGGCAGAATCACGCTCACAATGAGCCTCTCTAGCCAGCAGGCATGAAGGGGACTCACACACCCAACTCAGACATTCACAGAGTGCCTGAATCCTGCTTCGTATCTGCGCATTAGCCCAGGAGTGACACTCAGGTTCAAAGACAGGTATTTCATTTTCTCCCCTCTTGGGTTGAAGGTATTGTCAATGAAGTACTGCTGCAGGGAGCCTCTGCAAAGGGTCTCATCTCACAGGAATGAGGACAGTAGCAGCAATGTCTCAGTTCCCACTACAGACACTTCTAGCAGCACTTCTCGTTACCATGAGCACCAAACTGACTTAGAAGAGGAGGTGGGATTTTTCACAAAGACAGCAGTTACTGCCTGGTGATGCTGCTGGGCACCTGAACCAGCGGCATTGAAAGGAGCAGCATGAAAGCTGTGCCAGCCCTGGGGATGCCTGGGCAGCATCGCAGAGCCCTGACTAGAACACCCCAGCCCCGAGGGTGGAGGGGCTGAAGCTCTTCGTAAGCCCACGTGATGCTCTCAGCAAACCAACAGGCAAACGTGACCTGAGTGCAGCCGACGCAATCTGATGTTTGGAAAGACCAGCTCACTGTCAAAGGGGCAGGCATTGCAAAAATGATTCCACATGGCTCCGGCCTGAGCTCAATACCATTAAACTGTTTCATGATCTGGATGAGGAATAGAGAGCATATTTGTAAGATTTCTGGAAGATGCTAAACTGGAGAGATTTCAACCACCTTGGAGTAGTGGATTAGACTGCAGTTTCGATAAAGGAGAGAAGCTGTCCAAAATCTTCACGATGCACTTCACCCAAGGCCAGAGTGAAGTACAACACTCAGGAGAACTGGAAAACATGAGTACAAAATGGAGCTGGGCAGAAGCACTGCAGAAAAAGCTTGAAGACTGCAGAGGATCACTGTGGATAAGCCAACAGCATGACAGGATCAGAAATAATCAGCTGGATTTCAAGATAAACAGATCGATCTTTGACCAAGTTTCTAATGATAATGGCATACAAGCCCTGGATGAAGCTACCTTGAGAGACCAGAGGATCTCTGTGACTGGTAAATTTTAAGGAAAGGCCAGATGACAGCTTGTCAGACAAGACCTGGGGTACCTGACCCTCATCTTGCACAGGCACTTGCAGTCACTCATGGTCCCTCTGGCCCTGCCTTTCTGTGAGCTGCAGGTGCTGGAGTCCCTTAGGGTAGACTCCAATCAGTCATTACAGAGCCCAGGTCCACAAAGAAGCCAACATACATCAACTGAGCTGCGATGACTGTCTGTCTGCTCTTTGCTCGTGACAAAGACAAGGCAGTGCAACTTGAGCAAAGCCCTTTCAGTGAGATTTGAGCTGACATTTGCCACAGGGTAAGGGATGCACACCTGCAGCACCCACAGTTCAGACTGCAGTGAAAACTGTGCCATGTTTCTTTGATGGTCAGTTTAAATCCAATGTCTATGCAGCTGGGTATGCTCATCTGTGCTATTCCCAATCCTCTGTCAGCAAGTGGGCAATATCTGGAATAGAGTTGTGGGTTCTCCATGGGACCCTGTTGTCTGACCTCATCCACAGAAGGGGCCAACAATTTGGCTTGGCGATTCCCCCATCAGGCTTTCTTTCCTTCCCCTTCCATGGGGCCATCCAGCAGTACCAACATCTGGGAGACACCAGAGGAGCAGAAGGTGGGTTTTCCAGAGGCCTCAATGAGCTGAGCTCACCAGTTGAGTGTGACTGATCTCTGGAGGGGTCAGTGTACATAACCAGTGCTTTCTCTCAACGCTCAGGTCACTGTGTACTGCACTGCCCCAGCACGAACCCTTCACATCTCACAGGGAGGCAAATGCAGGCAGGGCTATCTGTGAAGGAAGGACTGACAGCCAGAAGTTGCTATCCACTGGCACTGCTTGTTTGTTGGCTGGAAGGTCAGCACGGCCAATGTGCATTACACCAGGCTGCTTAATGGCCCAGAGCAACACCAACACCAAATTATTTCTAAAGTTTATTGTGTTGAATTACCTATGAGTGATGTCTTGTGGGATTACATAAGTGAAAAAACAGGAACAGATCTCCTGTAAAGGTATCTGGATTTATAAATAGATTTATTGCGCCTCTTTGAAGTTCAGAACATACAGCCTCTCACACAGTACAGCCTCAGGCTTTAAGAAGCCTTCCCAGGCCAAAAGGCTGTGTTACAGTTAATTATTTGTTAACAGGTTTAAAAGCTGTGCTTCAGATGATAGACTATTTCAAATTAACAGCAAAGGTAATTGTGCCAAGAATTGCTGTTCTCTGACTGCACCTTCTCAAAGAGGCTCAACTGGCTCTGACAGGCTGTACCAAACTCTCAGCACGAGCTTGGTCTAGAGAACAGAAATCTAATTCCCCAGTGCTGCTCTCTAGGGTTTATGGGAGCTCCTCTTAAAAACAAACATATTGCAAGATCCAACTGATGAAAGCTAAGTCTGCAGTCCAAATCAAAAATGTTTAGTAAATAAGGCTGAAGGCAATAACTACTGTTACAAATTACCGAAGATGATGGAAGACTGTCTTCATATTTGAAGCACTGTATTTTCAAAACTGTCTTAGAAAGACCATAAACCCAAAGCCCTCCTTCTCCCCTTGGTTGTAATGGCATATATCAATCATCTGAATGTTCATATGTCCATCACTGAGATCAGGCATCTACTTCTGTAAAAGATGCTGTCTTAGAGCAAGGCAGAAGACAGGCAGAGAGCTTGAGAGGCAGGCAAATCTTGGTGTCTGTTCTGCAGTAAAGCAGAACAAATGGTGACATCAATTGTCTCTCTAGACTTAAACTACACATGTCAGTGGCTGTTTGGCCCTATGGACGCAGTCATAGATAGGACAGGAACATGTTATTCTGGTAATTTATCCCTTCCCACTTACACACATCCTCTCCAAAAAGCTTTGCTGCAGTAAAATGTTTGTCTTGAAAACTGCACAGTTTGCAGAGAGGCTGAAACAGAGCTCCCCTGAAATGCCACCTGACCTTGCTGAAGTGTTTCAAGGCTGTAACCAAACACCATGGAAGAGTTTTGCAGCCTTCTGAAGGTGCGCTTAGGTAAATTGGTAGAACCTTGTTCTACCAAATCAACTATGA